CTGTCTCAATCTCGCGCTTGCGCACGGGCGTCTCAATATCCACACGGTCCACGTGATCCGTCTACGGAAAACAAAGGTATGAGCAGTTGGCTAAAATCTTTGCTAGTGTTTACTCACAGTGCCAAAGGATTGCATTAGATCGTCCACACGCTGTGGCGGATTGCCATTTCCCACGGGATACTCGACGCCGTCCACGGGGAAGGGCGAGGGCGAGCCATAGTCCGGTCCTCGGCGGTTGTTTATGTTCGTTGTGGAAGAGTATTTATATGAATAGGTGGTATTATTCGGTGGATAGCCATTGCCGGTCTGTGGCTGCGGATAGTTGGAGCTGGGCAGCTGCTTGAGTGGTGCCGGATGTGCTGGCTCCGCTGGGTATGGTACGCCACCGTTGGGCGGGCCGTGTATGGTATTGACGGTATTTGAGGTCTCGGTCTCCTTGAAATAGTAGCGATTGGTGCCACCCGGCGGCAGCTGACCAGGCTGACCGGGACTGTGGGGCGAGCCGTAGTTGGGGCTATGGGGCGGGCTGTGCGGATAGCGCAGGTCGTTCACCGTATTCACATTATCCGTCTTGTGTATATTGTAGATGACGGTGCGGCTGGAGTTGGGCGGCACACCACTCGGGCTGACCGCTGGTCCCAGCGGCAGCTGGCGAGGCTGCGGGCTCAAGCCGCGCGTGGTCGTCTCCTTGTGCTCGCGAATCTCATACGACTGATTGCTCACCAGCGGCCGATCGTTGGGCCTGTTGAGCGTGGAGTAGCTCTCCGTGTTATAGACGACCGTCTGGGGCACGTGAGACGGCGATAGCTGCGTATAGTTCTGGCTGCTGTTGAGTGTTTCGTGGTGTTTGTAGCTGCTGCTCAGCGTATTGTTGTTGGTGGTGCGATTGATGGTGCTGGTGGCGCTGCCGGGACCAGTCGACGGTATCTCATAGGTGTAGGTGCGCACCGTGGTGGTCACCTTAGTGCCAGGTACCGGCAAGATGCCATCGCCCAATGCAATGTCCTGCAGCTCTTTGTCTATGTCAACATTGCTGGTCAGCGTCTGAGTGGTGCTCACGGTGCTCGGCACCAGCTCCACATTGTTGTTGATCGTGCGATTGCTCTCATAGATTTTCGTCTTGCTCGCATACTGACCACCGGGTGAGTGGGCTGAAAGAGGATAAGAAGTTACTCAACTGATATAAAAAGGTTTTCAAATGGGTCTTACCTAGCGTGTAGGGCTTCTCGTTGGTCTGGAACTCGTCACGCTTTAAGTTATCCTGAAAGCTAGAGTACTTGGCCGTGGACTGCAGTGTGCTGTAGTCGGTTGGATTAAAGGTTTCGACATCATCATTGATGGGCTGCTGGCCAGCCGAATGTTTCGTTGTCTTGATGACACGCGTTGTCTTCGTGATAGTGCCTGCTGGATCAGTGCGTTCACTGCAAGAGAAAAAATTAATAATGAAATATGAAAGGATTTCTCTAAATAAATTACAAAAATTATAAATATATTTATTTATGCATAATATCTAATCAGTATAATATTAAATATATAATATTTTTTAAAAATAGTGTAGATTATTATAGTTTCAACCAACTTACAGTGTTCTATAAGTAGTTCCAACGGGTAGAATCTCGCGTTCTCTTGTCGTGTGCTGGCGTTCCTGTTTCAGGTCCTCAAGCAGGGCATCCAACTGATCGATGTTTTGATCGGCGCCCTTGCTCTGATATGACACATTATTATCGCCGGAGCTTGAATATTGGTACGATGACTTCTTGTACGCATAATTCTTGTCGTTCTGTAGATATAAATAAATTTTTAAGATTTAAATGAGATCTACAAAAATAATAAGAATTTCGACTTACACGTCCGTTCCATTTGGAGGGCGAATCTTTTATTGAGGATGAGTAATTTTCCGAGCTGCTCGAGTACTGCATTTCCAATTATTGTTTTTTCTGCAGGAATGACATCAAGCATCAATAAAAACATAGACGAAATATTTAAATTTATATTATATTTATATGTGTATGAGTAAGTGATATTTTAGTCATAAATTCTAGGCTGTGTGCGCGTGTGGGTGTAACTGTAAACGTAAACGGCTTCGGACTGACAGGTTGATTCGCAGTTCATGAGAATTTCAAGCATTCTTGTATACATTACACCCACTGGATATTTCAATCTGTACAAACATGGTGCCAGCTCACATTCTGAGGTGATATTTCTGGCGCATTAATGGAGCTCAAGTCAATTTAAAGATGGGCATCACTTGACCAGATGATCTGTCAATAGCACCAGCCAAAAGAAAAAAACGATCTAAATTAACCAAATAAACATCTGAAAAGGCGCAAAAGATGCCTAGACTAGCAGATACCCAGCATAATAAAAAGTTCTGAAATTAATTAAAATATTTTCAACAATTTCTGAGAAATAACGAAAAATAAAAAACTTTTTCAAGTTAATTGATGACATAAATATGCCTTAAAAAAGCCTATATGCATATATTTATGTGCCCCAAAATTTGGCATTGATTTTCGGAACTGACGACACAGAAAACATACAAAACAAAATGATATGAACAAGCTGCTGGCAAAGTCAATGTCAAACTGGTTTTCACTTTTTAGCGTGTCCTTAGTTCCTTTTTCGTCGAATGAAACAATTCAAAAAAAAAAAATAAAATAAAATAAAATAAAACCTGTATACATATGTACAGATATTCGTCAGACTACAGAGTTGATGAGCTTTTTTTTTTATGTGATTTAGCGATAACCTTGAGTAAGAGATTTCAATGAATGACTTTGTATAAGGCGCATGTGAGAGAATAGCAGATGCAAACACAAGGATGACCAAAGATGATGTCATCCGAGTCATAAACAAATAATATTCGACTGACTGCAAATACACATGCACGTAGAAACATAGGCTCACACACACACACATACATCTTAGCTCACGTAAGTTAAATAAATCACTGCGTCTAGGCCCCTAATCAAATCACATCAGATTCAATCAAATGAACATCGAGATTCTTACAGAATGATCTTTCGTTTGCCGCCATATGGTCAAGAGTTTTTTAGCTAATAAAGAAGCTCACGTAAGCTAACACAGCAACAATAAAAAGTTCATAATATAAATAAAAGGCTAAATCTAATTGACGCCTGGATCATACAGAGCACGTTTTTTTTCTACAGTGGCGCTTCGAGGCAAATTGATTTATATAAAAAAAAAAACAGGTCGAGTAAGAGAGATAGATGGAGAGAGAGAGAGAGAGCGAAGCGTGTAATGCGTATGTTTGTTTTTGCATACGCTTTTTGTACAATTCAAAATGATCTCATATAATCGGAACGAGAGACAAAAAGTGGGAACATGTTGCTGCTGCTGCTGCTGTTGCCGTTGTCTGCCATTGGAGTGGGCGTGACGTAAAGGCGGGACTGGCAGGGGTAAACAGCAACTCGCAAAAATGCCAACGATCTACATGTGAACACAAATACATACAGATACATAAATATGTATGTAGAGGCACGAGTGTGTGTGTGTATGCATATAAGCAAACATAAAATAAACAAAATAGCAAACGAACAAGCTTGAAATGGCCGAAAAGAGCAAAGCGAAGGTGTTGTTGTTTTTGTTCAAATTTCCGAAAATCAAATTGAAAACGTAGGCGAAAAGGCGTAGAACATGCATTTGTATGTATGCGTGTGTGTTTGCCTGTATTCATATGTATAAGTTTGTGTGAGTGTTGTATTCTAGCGCCTGAGTTAGATTGCCAATTTGTGTGGCTGGTGACGATGCTGCCGCCGTTGATGTTATTATTGCCCACCTACGCAACAGCATCAGCGCACAGTTCAATCTAGTTAACACATAAACACACACACACACAAATACATATACATATGTATGTATATGTATGTACATGCATATACCTTCTACATTTGCTTTGGGTAACGTTTGAACTTGGCTAATTTAAATTGAAAATTTTATGTATGAATACGCAAATCTTCAAAAAGACAAAAAATAAAAAAGTATTGATGTGCTCTTTATTTCGTTGCTTCCATTTGACTTTTGCTGTTCTTTTTTTGTATTTAGCCGAATTTACGCTTTGAACGGCGGCGCACAATGAAGCAAAAGAATAGGCAACGGTTGTCGTCGCCTTCATTGTCAGCGAGACTTTCGCCTTTTGCTCTTGTTGTTGCTATTGCTGGTGTACGTACACACATATTGATGTATGAAAACAAATAATTCTATAAATAGTTCACTGCCACCGTTTCTTTTTGGCTTTCGATTCCGAAAACTGTTGTTGTTGCTCTTGATTCAAACAGAAGGCAAAAACAACAACAAAATATCGAGTACGCCCCAGAAATGAATCATCCTCAAATAAATACAGTTAGCCATAGGATGCGGATGCAATTGAATGCGTATTTTTATTGAACACCATTTGAATTTCTCTTTGCGAGTCTGTATATACACACGCACACAAATGGATAATAGATACTCGCATGAGCAAATGAGAGTATCAACGGATAGCGAGAAAAAAAAAAAAAAACAAACTGAAACTCGTTTCTATGTGAGTTTGTCGCCGTCATCAGTTTGTATTTTGAGCTTGTCTGCCAGTTCAAGAGATAGCTAGATTCCATAGATACACACACATACATATGTATATATACGTATGTACATACATACGGTAAATAGATTTATGCATTACAATATCATTCACTAAGCACTCACTATGCACTTTTCCAAAACCCAAAATTATTGGTGCAGACTATTTGACCCGTTGTATTTGTTGTAATTGTATTTCTGCTGCTTTTGTTATTTTTGTTGTTGCAGCGACGACGGCGGGTTCAGTGTTCAGCCAAAAGAAAATTGCTACAATGCGCGGGCGCGTTAGTCTTAGAAATTCGTTTGTATGTATGTTTGTGTATGTTCGTGTCTGTGTCGTGTGTCTACTACAAAACGTAACGGTAACGGGGAACAGCTTTGCTTTCAATACGCGTACGCGCCTCGCTGGTTTGTGCAGTACTAGTGATGTGAAAAAACATCGATGCATCGACAATCGATGTTTTTTTGGCGATGTTTACCGATGTTTTCCGATGTTTTTATTGATACCGATGTTAAGCGATGCACCGATGTTTTTAAGCGATGCATCGATGTTTTCCAAAACGTCGCTGGTTTGATTTTATACATATTTTGCGTATATTGTCGTGTGTTGCCTGAAAGTGCAGTTATACAAACTTAAGCAGCAAATATTGCAATGCCGAAGTAAGTAAATATAGTAACATTACTTATATGTATTTATTTATGTATGTACATATGTACATATATTTATACGACAAAATCAATTGTTTTAGAATAACAACAAAGACGAGTTTTTGCTGGAAGCATTTCGCCAAAATTGATGGCAATAGTGCGAAATGTAATATTTGCGGCAAAACAATCAAAACTGCAGGGAACACTACGAATATGAAAGATCATCTACGCAATGTGCATAAAATAAGGGAAGAAGACCAGACACCTGTGTCTAACAGTGGGACGCCACGACAAGCTTCAATAGCTGCAAGCTTCCAAAATATCACGGATTTTGGAGGAGAAGGACAAAAAACAAAAAAAATAAATGATGCAATTGTTTACATGATCGCAAAGGACATTCAGCCGTTTTCAATTGTTGAAAATGCTGGATTCATTTATTTGATGAATACTGTCGCACCTCGTTATGAAATTCCTTCGCGTTATAAAGTAACCAAATGGCTCGATGAGAAGTACAGTCAAATGAAAGATCTGTGGAGAACAAGGCTGACTGGAAAGAGCATATCCTTAACAATGGACATATGGAGTGACCAAATGTCAATGCGCAGCTATTTAGGGATCACTGCTCATTTTCTCTTGGAGCAGGAAATGTCTTCATTGACAATTGGAGCTATGCAGTTAAGCGAGCGTCACACAGGACCATATCTGAGCGAAATGCTGGAAATCTGTTGCTCAGATTGGAACATTGACAAAAAGCAAGTAACAGCTATTGTCACAGACAATGGTACAAATATTAAAAAAGCTGCTGAGATAACGTTTGGGCCCAAAATTCACCTGCCCTGCTTTGCGCACACGATTAATCTTATTGCTCGCTCGGCCATCCAAAGGGAATCCGTAAATGGATGTATTGCCAAAACTAAATCAATCGTTGCTTTTTTTAACCATAGTGGTGTGGCCAGCGACCATTTAAGGAAAGCAACAGATAAAGTACTTATTCAGGATGTTCCAACGAGATGGAACAGTACATATTATATGATAGAGCGCTTTTTGGAGGTCAAAACGCAAGTGAACGACATTTTACTGAGTATTCCAAATGACCAAATGTTGCTTACCGGAAAGGAATTTGAGCTGTTAAACAATGTGCTTACAATGCTACGCCCCCTTGAGGAAGCAACGAAAATTGTCAGCGGAGACAAATATTGTACGGCCAGTACGGTCATACCCATTGTCAGCATCATCAAAGACAAATTAGAAAAATTAAGTGACAACACACAAGAAGCGAAGGATATGAAGGAGTTCCTGCTTCTCGAAATAGAAAGGCGAATGGGATCGATTGAGCAGGTATATTTCAAATACTCTTAATTGGTAGTTTCGTTAAATATATATTTGTAATGTACTGTTTTAGGTATCGATTCTAGCAATGGCCACGTTGCTTGATACTAGATTTAAAAAATTACATTTTAAAGATCCAGTTGCATGTGCCAATGCACTGATGAAAATTAAATCTATGTTTAAAGAAAATGAAAGCAAAGAGGTCATACCACCGACAACAGGGAACTCGGATTCTTTTTGGAACCACCATCACCAGCTCGCGCAGTGTCACAACCCGAATGTGGATATGGACGTAGAAATAAGCTCTTATCTACGAATACCGCTTACTTCCTTCGAAAGTAATCCAATAACTGTTTGGGAAAGCATGAAATGTACATATCCGAATTTGTACAAAATTGCTATGCAATTTTTGCCGGTGATGGGATCATCCGTTCCCTCTGAACGGGTTTTCTCAGCGGCTTCAAATATTTTGTGCCGTAAAAGAAACAGAATGACACCTGAGCGACTAAGTCGTATTTTGTTACTGCAAAGCATTGACAAAAAATATTTTTTTTAATTGTTTCTTTTTAATATGTAGTTTATAAGTAACATTGAAAGATAAAAAAACTGCTATGAAAGCATACGTTTTTTTTTTTTTTTTTGTTTGTTTAATAATTTTTAATTAACTGCTATGAAAGCATACGTATTATTTTTTTTTTTTTTTTGTTTGTTGTTTAATAATTTTTAAGATAAGATAAGTCTCATGAATATGAAAAGATTGCTATAAGTTTTTCATTTTTAAGTTAAAAATAATTTAAGTGAAATAATAACGCTATGAAAGCACCTATGAAGAAGCTTTAAAACCCGAAAAAAACGTTTCTTAATAGAATGGGAAAATACATCGATGCATCGAAGTTTTGACCCGATGTATAAACCAAACATCGATGCTTGACAACGAAAACATCTATGGGCATCGACATCGATGTTTTTACTCAAATTTACATCACTATGCAGTACTGAGGCTTCACAATTTTGCACTTGCCGTGAACAGAGCACGATCGAAACAGATCAGACCCCCAATTGACTTGATCTATAGGTTGTGCTCGCCAAGCACTGCTTTCTCTCAGACTCACGCTCGCGCTCTCTTGTTCGAAAAGCTTTTTCTTCTCATACTCAAACAAGCTATTTGAATACGAATAGACATTTTTTAATTATTATTATCTGTCTTTATGTGAGTTCATATTAATGAAGCATTTTAATTGCAAAATATTTCAAGCATCACATATTTTCGTGTTTTAATTATTATTATGTCCCAAAATATATACTAAAATTAACTCGAGTATGAAGCTTGTTTATTTGGAATAGGCACGCCAAATAAATTTACGCTTGGAAACTGCGACGTCATCGCTGCTCATGTAATGAACCATGAACTCAACCTGTTATGGAATGCTCAGCAAGTGCTCGCTGAGCGCGTGAGCATCCCCATTGACGCTGTCGCCCGTAGGCTTATTGGTCGCACGACGCAAAGCTTTCTGGCAGAGCTTTTTGGCTTTGGCGGCTAATTTTGTTAATGGAATGCAGGTGCTTAATATTTAATCAACACAAAGTCAGGTGTTTGTTTTATTTATTCGTTTCATTCTTAGCAGTGTCAATTGATTTTACAAAAAATCAAAATTATAGTTAATGTAATTAGTCAAGCTTCTTCTTCTTCATTATCATTTACAAAAACGGTAACTTAGTTCACTCATAATAGCGTTACAACTCATGTGTTTGCATGTAAAAAAATTACTGTAATTAGGATAAAGGAAAACATCTAGTCCTTGGCGGGCACCTCGATGACGCGCGGCTTGTCAATGATGCGTGCGGTCTTGTTGCCCTTCTCCACGATGCCAATGATCCAGGCCTGATAGCCCTCCTGTTTCTCAATGTCTTTGCAATAGGCAGCCGCCTGTTCCCTGGGCAAGCAGATGAGCAAGCCGCCCGAAGTTTCCGCCGAGTGTCCCTGCAGTAGCTGGAACATATTGCCACAGGCCTTGGCCACAGCTGCCATTTTCGCAATTACTGGAAGATTATGGATAACAAAGGAAACATCCTTCTTCTGGTGAGCGGCCAGAGTTTGTGCATGGCCCAGCAGACCAAAACCGGTTATATCGGTGGCTCCATGGGCGTTGTACTTGTGCATGAGACGAGCAGCGACTCGGTTCAGGCGCGACATAGAGTTCATGGCACGATGATAAGCCTTGCGCACATCCTCCTCAGACACAACCAACTTGATGCGGTTCCAGCGTTCGGGCTGATCGATCCACTGATGCGCATTCACAGCCACCTGAGTGCCCAATGGTTTTGTTAGCACCAAAACATCTCCCACAACAGCATTGTCCGGCACAATGTACTCGTTTGGCTGGCATATGGTTGAGGCGACGCCACCAATGGTACACCATGGATTCACAACGCTCTGGCCGCCGGTCACAGTGGTGCCCGCCTCCAGGGCTGAGTCCTTGAAGCCCCGCATAATCAGTGGGATGACCACATCGCGTTCCTTCTCCGTCATCTTGGTGCTTACGGCCAATAGCATAAGCATATTGTCACAATCAGTTACGCCCATGGCATACAAGTCGCTGAGTACATTCGCGCAAGCTATTTTCCCCATCATGTAAGGATCGTCCACAATCGGATAGAAGAAATCCGTGGTCTGCACCAGGCAAAGACCGCCGTGACGCAGTGGTATGACGGCACAATCAAGACCAATGCCAATACGGGGTATGGCCACGTTGAGGAATTGCGGTTCCTGATCCTGAGCGGAGTAGTCTTGCTGCAGTGCTGAGACGAGCTTTGAGAGGACCTCTTGTGGCACCTTACAGCCACGACCTTTCAGGTCCGCGAAACGTGTCAGGCGGAAAGATGCATCCAAGTCGTGAGCAGTTGGGTCGAAAGGCCGGCGCAACTCAGCGTCGCCACCGCCGTGTAGCTCGAGATGAGCAGCATTTAGAACGTCCGCAGCGTAGCTCATTTTGTGATCAAAATAATCTAATTAAATAAATGTAATGATTGCATTAGTATATGTCTTCCAACTAGAATTACGCACTTTTTGCCGCCAATAAAACGGGTGGCAACAAATAACTCGCGTTCTCCCTGGGCACGAATACACACGCAAATAGACGTGTACATATATAGATTTTCAGTACGCATCTATGTGTGTGTGAGTAGCGCGCTCTGTGATTGGCTGTTTGCTCGATGGCGGCTGTATCGGGCGAAGTCAGTATTTCTCCCTGTCGTCAAAGAACAAAACGTGAACAATGTCCACTTTCTTCAATTCACAAAAGCCTAATTCTGGCCCGCTTTTCGAACGGGTAAATTACCGAATACACCAAGAGCAATTTGTACTTACGATTTCGCGTCAAAATATACAATAAATTACTCAAAACCCGGACAATAATTTTTTATTTAGCGCGTTGATTTTGCTTTTGCACTGCTGTCGCTGTCTGAATACAGTTGCATGTTTGGTATATCGATAGCTTCGGCCACACAGTGGCAGGCACAGCGCTGCCAACTTGTTTCAAATATGGTGGCGCGTCGAAACGGCAAATAGAATTGATTGACAATAAAATGAATAAGTTAAAATGAAACAAAGAGTTACATTACTACTCTTACTACTCTAATTATAAGTCATGTCTCATGTGCAGCGCTGGCATTGCTTTAGTGGCAATTGGCCTCCACGCAAATTAACAACAACGGTAGCTGTTAACCAATAGCAAATCAGTAACAAAACTGAGAGAAAGACAAGCGGAACCTGTTGCGCGAGCGCAGCTGAAAAGTAAAAGTGGAAGTATATTTATACGAAATAGGAAAGGGTTTTAACTAATATAATTTGCTTTAGGTTTACTCATATGACAAATAGTTGGAAATGACTATTTTTTTGCTGACGAAGAAACAATAGACTTAAGCAACAAACTCTTTTCTCTTGCCATGGCCAAAATGAACCAATGACGACAGCGACAAAGACACGCATACACCTACATAAAACGTAAATAAACAAGTTATACTTTGAACATGATTCAGTTACGCTTGCGCCCCATCGTCTTGTTACTGCTGCAGTTATTTGCCTTAGTCAGCAGCGAATATATTTATGGCGAACCCAAGTTCAAATGCCCCAGAAAGTAAGTTCTCGTAATATTATACGTTTAACAAAAGTTTAACTAACTTTTTAAAATTAAATTTATTTAATTTATAGACCACAAGTTTTGTACCCCTGTCTATGTGTAAATGGCAGCGATGTTGGCATTTTTGTTCGCTGCGAAAATACAAACTTGGCCACGCTCTCGGTGGCCCTTCAGAACTTGGCTTCTCTGGAGTTGCCAGTGGAGGAGTTGACCATATACAAAGGGCATTTCGGTCTGTTACGGTCATATGTATTATATTGGAAAATATTGATTTATCTGCTACTTTCAGTACGCCTCTTCGGACCGCTTTTTGCGCATATTAAGGCGCGTGTTTTGACCATTGAGGAGACGCCACTTGCCACCATTGAGGATTATGTATTTTATGGCATGAACAATACGTTAGAGCAGGTCAAGTTGCTGCGAACGAATCTAAGTCATGTTGGTCAGCTGGGATTTGGCGTAAGTGAATTCAAAGAATTTAAATTTTCCCAGCAAATAATATTATAAATTTATGCTGCAGATCTTGGGCAAAACTCGTGAGTTGGTAATCGATGGGCATGCGTTTGAGAAACTGCCAAAGGATCTGTTTTTGGGTCAAGAAATTACCAACAAGCTCGAAATTATACGATTTACGAATGGCCTGTTGAGTGATCTGCCCGTGGAGACATTTCAACCGCTGCGAAAACTAAAAACTCTGGATCTGCATGGAAATCAGCTGGAGAATCTGAAGCGCAATCAATTTAAGAATCTGCGTGAACTGGAATTGCTGGACATAAGTCATAATAAGATCAAGAAACTGGAGGCGCAACACATCTCGGATCTAACAAAGCTGGGCTGGTGCAATGTCTCACACAATGCCTTAACCGAACTGAGCCGTGGCACCTTTGCCCGCAACTCGGTGCTCAAAGTTCTCAATTTGTCACACAACAAGATTGGCAAGCTGGACGCGAACAGCTTTCGAGGAATGCGTTTTCTGCGTCGTCTCTTCTTGAGCGACAATGCCATCACAGATGTGGGACGTGGCACGTTCGGCTCTGTGGCACGCATTGGCACAATCGATCTGGCGCGCAACAAGCTGAAGAAGATTGAGTATCAAATGTTTACGCAAATGAATTATGTGGAGGTAGGTGAAATGGAATAAATATTCGATATTTTATTGATTATAGTTTTTCTAGCTGGTGGACTTGGCAGAGAACAATATAACAAAAATCGAGAAGAACTCATTCAAGGACATCTACCAGGCTGTCATCAATATCTCGCACAATGCCCTGGAGCTGATTGAAACGGCTGCCTTTGAGAATTGCATTAATATAACCAAATTGGATCTCTCACACAATCGACTTGCTAACTTCTCCCGTCGTAGTTTCGATGAAACGACCTTCGCTACGGAGTTTCAGCTGAGCTTCAATGTCTTTACCAACTTAGCACAGGTAGGTTGGCTTTTAATGATAAACTGCATCGCTATGTTTAACTACATTTCCATTTTTAGATACCCATTCAAAATATGTCTGGCCTGCGCATCTTGAATGTCTCGCACAATAACATTACGGAAATACCCAAGAACTGTTTTCCCAAACTCTATGAGCTGCACACAATCGATGTTTCGCACAACAACATATCTCAAATATTCAATGGCGTCTTTCAAACGTTATTCTCTTTGCGCTCCATCGACTTGAGTTACAATAGCATGCGGGAGATTAAATCCTCGACTTTTGGCACATTACCCACATTGCTGGAGATGAACTTGAGCCACAACAAACTGGTTAATGTTATGCGCGGTTCGCTGGCCAAGCTGACGAGCTTGCGGCAGCTCTTTTTGAATAATAATCGATTGGAGAAACTCTTCCAATTGCCCATCTCGTTGAATGAGTTGTATTTGAGTCACAACAACATCAGCTCCATACCAGCGGGTACTTGGCCCGTTATGAATTCCTTGATCTATTTGGATCTCAGTCACAATCAGCTTGCCGATAATTTGGATGGACAGAGCTTTACGGGGCTGCTGGTTGTCCAACGCCTCCTGCTGCAGTCGAACGGCATCAGCAAGCCGCCATTGGAGGCGGTGGCTGTGATGTCAACGCTGCAATATCTCTACCTAGAGGTGAGTGTTGATGAGACTATAATTACAATAGCTCCATAACTCAGTATACCTTAACAATGATTCTCTGAATGCCTTTATAATTGTTATAGTTAGATTCTAATTTATTCTTCAATATTCTCTGTGTCATTGGGGAGACTTTTTTTTATTGGTCTCGAACTGGTTTCTAGCATGATTCATGTGATGATAATTACTTATGCAAGATTTCTATTAATTTAGCAACTTCAAGTTTTTAATTTGTTGTTTCCCAACATTTAATTGGCAAATTCTAAACTTAATTTGCCATTTATGTCCTCAGTTGAATAGTGTCTAATAATTCTGAATAATTTATTTGCAGAATAACAACATTAGTGTGTTGGAGCGAAGCGCCTTTGGCAAGCTGCCAGTTCTGTTTGAGCTCAATCTTTATGGGAATCAGGTCTCGGATATTAGGTAAGTGCTGTGACCTGACACTGCAGTCAAACAGATGCATTTTAATGAATAATTCGGTTTCACAGCAAACGGGCGTTCGAGGGGCTGCTGCAGCTGCTCACACTCAATCTGTCAAGCAATGGGCTGAGACAGCTGCCAAATGATATATTCATTGGATTGCCATCGTTGCGCACGCTCGACCTGTCGCACAATGCCCTCTCGAAGCTGGACAATAAGACGCACGGTGTGCTGGACGATTTGCTCAGCCTGGAGACACTTAACTTGAGCCACAATCGCATCAGTTTCGTGACCAAGAAGACCTTCCCATCCCATCAGTATATACCCTACAATCTGAAGTACTTGGATCTGAGCTACAATCAAATGCCCGTGCTCACCTATGATATAACCTTCGGTACAAAGAAGTTACTCAAGTTGAATGTGTCCCACAATCAAATTAACGAACTGCGTCGCGGCGTCTTATCGAACTTCACCTCACTGCAATCATTGGATTTGTCCCACAATGAGTTGACGAATCTGATGTCCGAGGAGCATATCTTCGATCTGCCCAAGAATCTGAGCAGCTTGGACATTTCGCACAATCAAATCTATCATTTGCCCTTTGGCAATTTGATCAAGACGAAGTCGCTGAAATACATTGACCTGCGGAACAATAGCCTGGAGGATATACCAGCCTCACTGGTGGCCACCATGCACAATGGTAGCCAAGTTCTGTTGGCCGAGAATCCGCTGTATTGCGGCTGTAACGTTCGACCGTTGAAGCATTTTATGCTGCAGCAGACAGCGCCTAGCGAAGACCTGAGCAGCGTCAGTTGCCAGACGCCCAGCATTGTCAAGGATCAGCACCTGCTGAACATTGAAGATGAATACCTAAATTGCAGGGAGGATGAGCTGGAGCTCTATGCGGGCAACGAGTACAAACAGCTGACGGATGTCCGCTTTCGCGAGGTGCAAACGTAGGTTATAAATATTTATACAAATATTCTAAATCAGTTGTAGCTAAATTTTCTTTTATTTTATGTTTAGCAATAAGGCGGGCAATCTGACCATGCGCTGGTTTGTCTCGGCCATTGCAGACGTGGCGGACTTTAATGTTTACATACGCAGCAGCAGCAACGAGATTTTGCACCAGGCGGACTATGCCTACAATCAGCGCACAGCCGAAATACCCGTCGCCGAGTTGTTGTCGCATGGCGACGCGAAACTGGGTGGCGCCGAGATTTGCATTGTGGCCCGCGACAGCGATGGTAACACGCGCCGCTGGTTTGCCGGCCAATGTCAGCCGCTGCCCTCGCTCAAGCTGCCGAGGACTTTCTTCTTTGGCAACTTTAATGTGCGAGGTTCGGGCAGCGCCACAAAGTCACCGAATACCTGCCTATTATACATAGCTTTAACATTGTTTGTTATCCATATACAATATATACAGCAATAATAAATGCACTCGCGTATGAATACTGCCAGCATGCACTGTAAGGACGCGCTCTGCTCTGACCTTACAGCTACAGCTGAACATGTGCGCGCCGCGCGCTATGCACATGTATTTGTTTACTTGGCCGTTGCCGTTGTTGCCGAAGCGCGCGAGAGAGAGAGAGAGGGTGTGAGTGTTTGGGTGTAGAACAAACGGGGTTCCCGTTGAGCACAATTGAGAATATGTTAAAGCCCAACCAGCTGATACTTTCGAACTTTCATTCACAGCGAAAACACAAAAGCAAAGCGCAATCAGCAAGCAGCGGGCAGCCAAGCGCCGCCAGTTCGTGCGGGTTCGGGCCTAGCGCTCGGCTCTCCATTCGGCATTTTGTTATTTGTGTTGTTTTTGCACGAGCAAACGTCACAGAATGACGACGACGCCGCTAACAGCCAGTGTGAGCGCAAGGACTTTGAGCAAAAGCAAAGCTTGCCAAACAAATGCGCACTCGCATGCTCACGTTCTCAGCTTTAACTTAGATGACGCTTATAAGTGCGTGTACACTGGTGGCCAGCAATTGAGTGCTCTGTTGCTCTTACTGTTCTATTCAGAAAATGCTTGGGCTCGTGCGTATACGTAATATGATTCTAAGCAGCTGTGTATAAAAATGTATTTATATTTGATATAATACATGTAGTTATAATACGCACGTAAATTTAACATATTTAATGAAAAATAGCTTATTTAACTGTTGATTAATATTAATAATATTTTAAAGATAATACTGTTGTAGAAAAAATTTCATATGGCGTATACGCATTATGAAGAATAGTAGTAAGTGTATTTGTTATATCCGAAACCATATAAAATATAATAAATATTATTATAATAATAATAACGAATAAAAATTCATATAATATTTGCTTTTTAATATTTAATCCATCCTGTAAAAGAAATCAAGAAAAGAGGTATTTAATGTAACTATACATTATGAAGATATCATTGCTTTTAAGAAATTTATCTAATGACAAATACAATTTAAATGGCGCTCACTTTATCGCACCGCGCCCACTATTGTTGGCCACCAGTGTAGCAGCACGCTCAGGACATGTGCACTTTCACTGGCAATGAGCGCTCTCGTTTTCGGTGTATTGTGCTTTTTAGTTTTGGTGACTTTGCGCTGCTTTTGCATTTGCGCTGGCTCTATGCGGGTGTGTATGTGCGTGTGTGTGTGCGTATTTGTTTGTGTGTGTGTCTAGTCCGTATGTGTCCTTATCGATTTTCAGCGAAATTTCACAGGCTCACGGCGCACGTCAGTGCCAAGCGAAGATTCACTTGTCGCGCTGAGTTCGTTCGTGTCGTGTTTCGCACAGCACAGCAGCAGCGAGTAACAGAGTACCAGAGTACCGTTATGTAAAGCGATTTTCAGTTGAAAGTACACATACAATAAGTGAAACGCTGCTGTGAGCAAAACTAAACTAAGCTAAGCGCCACTCTCACGCACACCAACATTCCATAATTTGTTATAAATTAATTGGTTCAAGCAGCATTGTGATAAACGCAGCGAACGTGCAAGAAAAACGCGCTAAGAAATCTACTTCACAATACTTAACAAAAAGCTAATCGAAACACGCTGTGCCCAACTGTGCCGTAACACGGGACATTGAAAATACGAAGAAGAAGCAGAAGCGAACGAAAAAAAAACGTTCCAGGTAGCAGGCGAAGGAGACATGAAAAGCGAAGGCGCAAGCGAAGACGAACGAAAATGTAATAGAGGTCAAAAGAAGCATTGATTTAACGTGCACTTTCTTCTTCTGTTCCATTTTCTTCATATGATTCGCTTGCGGTTTCTGTGCGTGTGTATGTGTGTGTGAAAGAGTCAAATTGTGTTGCGTAAAGAATTAGTTTAACATTTAACGAACGCTAAACGGTTCATTCAATAAAAGCACGCACGCACACGGTGAATCTCTGGGTGTGTGTTGTTAGTTATAAGCATACATATATATGGATATATATATGTGTGATTCTATGTGCGTGTGTGTGTGTGGATGACGAATTACCTCTGACTTACATATTTCCTTGTTTTTTGCCAAAATTTTAAACGAAGCAGCTAAACTGAGCACCAGTGGCATATAACACAGTTCAATATAACAGTAAAGACCAAGCATAATTACATAATCAAATAGTAAAAAAAATAGAAAAAAAAAAACGAAACGAAACGAAAACAAACGATATAAGCTACAACTAGATCAAACTTCAAGTGCAGCATTACTTAATCAACGACCCCGGAAACGCCTAAAAGCAAACTAAGAAAAAACCACAAAACACCTTAAAAACAAAATAACCAAAAAACCTATGTACCTGCAACAAAGAAATTGAGCAAATACACAAATACATAAAAACACTCTGACACACACACACACCTACAGCAAAGCGCAGCAATTATAAGTATTTAACAAAATTTAGCAAGAACAAATTACTTTTAAAAATATACAACAACAAAAAAGAAAAACAGAAAATTACAGAAACACTCGCTACATACATACATACATACTTATATATAAAGGAAAAGTGCTATAACATATATACAATACAATTATCTATAGAGGCGTTATATACTGACATAACTATTACCTATAAAAAAAAACAACACGCATATATAGAATATATATATATGTGCTACTTATATAAAAACGTTATGCGATTCGTTCAGCAGTGAATGAAATAACTGATATAACTAGAGCTATAGCTAAAGGAAACCTCGTAGTTTGTAGAACAAGCGTCTTCTTCATGTAGCAGAATCAAATTAATTATATATACATATATATACAGTAATATATATGTAGTATTAATCGCACTTAACGACTAAACTAAAACTACCAAGTAGTTGCCTCTCTCTCTACATATATATATATACAAATTGCATAGAATATAACTAATTATATGTCTGTATATGTATATGTATGTGTAAATGGATTTATTTTTATAAAGCCGCAAAAACGAAACTACAAACTCCAAGAATTACGAAATAAACGCACTAATTAAGGACGTGCAGGACGACAAGGACGCCTACAAATTCGCCTCGCGTGCTGCTTGTGCAACTTTTATAGCTTACATTTAGAGATATATCTAAATATATATGTATAGATATATATATATATAGCTGTGTTTGGGTTTCTTGCATTACGCGCCTTGACGTAACTTCAGCACAAGCCACGCCGCGCCACGCCCCACGGTCGACCGGCCAACCACAAGCGGCCCGGTTACCCCAAAATTAAAAAAGAAAGAAGAAGAAAACCCCGGACCACAATATAGCCACATATATATAAACATATATAGATTTATATATATAACGGTAACACCATAACGCCTTAACTTAACTCACAACAATTTCCAACAAGCCATTAGCGAAGTAGCGAAAAGTCATCGCAGATAATTCGTTGCGTTCATTGAACTTTGAGCACGAAGACAAAGAGGAAGACGGAAGAGTAAGAGGAAGACAAGACCAAAAACCAAAAACTAAAGAAAAAGAAAAAGGAGCCGAATCGAAGCAGATAGAAATTCAATTTATATTCTTTTGCCGTGGCCTAGACAAAAGTGATGCTAAATAGTAAATTTATTATAGCCGTTCTTTGTGATATTCTAAACATATGTATATTTAACGATCTTAAACGATAAACGATAAATACAAATAAATAAATAACTAACCGTGTGTGCTCTCCGCCTGCTGCCCACCATCCTTCAGTTTCGCCCGCCCCGCCTATCATCGCCACTAACAACTCCACCTAAAACGACAAACAAATAACTATAATAACGGTATCCCTTAGAGTATATAAAACGACGTCTATAATCCAAAGTACAAAAGAACACAGCAAAACACGAAAAATCTACATATAATATATTATATTGTAGGCATATGTATACATAGATATATAGATACAAGTCAAATAAAAATAGCAACATATGGTATTAATATATATACTCAGTAGACAAATACGTTAAACACAACCTCAAAACTCAGCATTAGCGAGCGCCCAACTGAAACTCAACCTAAAACTCCAATTCTAATTTCAATTCCAATTCGAAAGCGAAAGCGAAACCAAACCCAACCAGATCCATAAGCAATATAACTAGTGCTGTTAACTATTTTAGTAACTACATTTTAGACAGTCAACCTACGTTACTTAACACCTTCAACTATAACCCACCAAAGACAGACACGCATACACTCAAACACACACACGTACACAGACACCAAACCAACAGAGTTTAGCAAGTGAAATAGTAAAATAATAAGAGCAAATAAAAAGCCGCTAAAAACGTTCAGCATGCGGCCTCTGTGAGTGAGAAAGACAGAGACAGAGAGAGAGAGAGAGTGAGAGTGAGGGAGTTAGAGAGCTACAAGAAGTTATCTAAGCAACAACGAAAAGCAATTATTTTTGTTTATGTGTTCGTATATGTCGTGTACTTGTATTCTCGTATTAGTTAATTCTCAAAAATCGAAACGCAACTTGCGTCCACACACTCACACTGACACAAACGGCAGTGAGAGATAGACAGAAAGAGAGAGAGAGAGAGACAGACTATACACCTCAACAAAATTCACACACACACACAAAGACACACACTAACATAGTCACAGAGACACAACCTCGATTACCATATGCAGCAAATACACCATGATAAAGTCGAGCATTGCGACAGGCCTAACGGGTTGTGCTCTATGGCAATAATAACAAGAACAACAATCACAACAACTACAGCAACAAGAGCAACAACAGCAACATCAGCAGCAGGAGCAGCAGCATAAAAAACTCAACAGCAACAGAGTGTGTGTGTGTGTGTGTGCGCGCGGCTGGTGTGTGAGCGGCTGGTGTGTGTGTGTGAGTGCGAGCGCGCGCGATTTAATCTGAGCAGAAGGCAGCAACAAGGAGTAACAGCCGTGGCATAACGGCATCACAAACTAACGAAGAGCGAAAGTAAAAATACGCAATTTCACCGTTTCCATGCAGAGGAGCTGCGTTCGTTGGGATTTTGTAACAGAAAATGCACGTTAAACACACACAGCGCCGAGTTAGCGGTCCTGGAGCCTTCGGAACATTTACCAACGATCAACGGTATGCAATTACATATATATATGTATAATTATTCTCTTGTATTTCTTTGATAATTGTTGTTAATTAAACGTATAATTGTCACATTACATTACGTTGCGTTACGTTGCGTTGCATTACGTATACATGAGTGTACATGTGCATGTATGGATTTATGTATTGCATTATTTTTATATTACGTTACATGGCGTTACGTTTCGTTGCGTTACGCTGCGTTTCGTTGCGTTGCTTATTGTATACATACATACATGTGCATGACATTACGTTACGTTATGTGGCGCTCCGTTACGTATCGCATACAAGTGTATACACGTGCTTGTATGTATGTACGTATTTATGGTATATTTTGGTATGTTTGGCATTTTGGGTATGTGTGTGTGTGTGTGTGTGTGCATGCATTTGGTATGCGTGTGCGAGCGTGTGACGTTGAGGCTGTGCTTATGGGTATGAACGACCTAAATCCCAACATTTCATCAAATATTTAGGAAAAAGTCTGCTTATCAATAATATAGTAGAGCTGGTACGTCCTGAAGCCCACGCACACAGACATAGCTTCAAGCATACCTGCCCGCATACGCATGCATACATGAATGTGTGCATATTAAAATATATACATACATACGTACACACATACATATATATGAATGTATTACCGTTTCCGTTTCATTTCATTTTCAGCATTCCCATTCGTTTGTGTTGTTTCTTTTGGTTTGTTTGCTGTGTTTGTTTGTTCGTTCGTTTGTTTGTTGATTTCTTAAGTTAAACTGTTGGCATTGTTCTTGTTGTTATTGCTGCTGTTGTTTATCTAAATGTGTATGTGAGTCTCTGTTTGTCTGTGTGTGTGTCTGCAACGATTTGAAAGCTTAAATTTGAAAGCAAATGAAAACAGCTTTTTAGGGTCAGTTTGTTGCTGTAATTACTTATGGCTATATAAATGTGTGTGTGTGCTTGTGTGTATTTGTGTGTGTTCAAGTTTCACTTGTTCAATATTCTTATTTGATCCCATTTTGCTTATTTCCTTTGGCTTTTTCGAGCACAATGCAACTGATTTCCGTTCATTGAACGGTCCATAGAGGGGAGGCGGGCGGGCGGGCAGCGTTAGTCATCCGTCACTCAGTCAATGCAATTACGAAACTAGATTAAAAGCCAAGCGGCCAGCACAATGGCGACAATAGCAACAACAGCAACAATGGCCAAACAACAATGAGCAACCGTTCGAAAAATAGTGTCAAAGTACTTTAAGTGCACTTGTATGCAGTGTGCAAAAAAGCGTTGCCTACACACAGGCGCCATTCAATTACTTCTTTAGTGTATGAGTGTGTGTGTGTGTGTGTGTGTGTGTGTAATTGTGTTAGCGTATTTGTGTGTGTGTGTGTGTACATGTCCAACGACAACATCAATGCAGGCAACGGAAGCTTTCGCTTTTACTTCAATGATTAAAGCACTGACCGAATTTCGGCTTACCCTGCCATGAGGCGCCCCTGTACATAGGATTGCATATGTATTTGAGTCTCTTAATATATGTGTGTATTGATAAAAAGGGCTTGCTGTCATTATTGTTGTTGCTTGCACATTGTAGCTAACACACACACACATACACACACACATAGAGTGAGATAAACAGTTTTGTTGGCATTTTTGTGTAGGAAGCTCGATGTTTCCAATTGAACTAGTTACAGTTTTTTTGTATACTGTTAACAGATGCACATAGCAAGTACATAGACACACCCACACAGACACACACAGAAACACGGTCACATTTGTATTTGTATGTGTGCCATAGACGGATTCCGCAAAACTTTTCCAGTTAAACAAACGAAACTTTACTTCGTGGAATCTGACTATTAGTTAATTAAAACTTATTTATTTTATTTTAATCCCATACTTTTTTGTTTCCTTGCTATTCGTTTCAAGTGAATATTTACATTGAAAATTATGTTTGTCATTGTTGTTGTTGTTATTTTTACAGAAAACTTGCTTAAAAGTACAAAACTTGAACAAAAAAGCAAAAAAAAAAAAACAAAACCCTAAAATATCAAAACAAAAACGAAGCGCTAGCGAATCAAGTTTCGCAAAAAAGAACAAAAATAAAGAAAAAAGAAACTAAGTGAAATCGAAACAATCAGCGTGAAACACTCGATTCCGTTTCTTATTAACGCTGTGGAAGCCAATTTTTGCGTACGTACTGACATCATCAGTGAAGGTACTCAAAATTTCAAATTGCCTCTCTCTGCCTCTACCTTTCAACTACTCTACTACTACTACTACTACTACTATTACTCTACTATAACTACTACTAACTACCACTACTACTACTACTACTACTAGTTATGTACTAACTATGTACTTGCTACAGATTGTCCCCCAACACGTTTTAAATGCTATTAACTTGCTATTCCTTAATCCCCTACTGCAAGCTACCCTAGAACTCTATGAGCATAAACAATGTTTCTTGTTTCAATGAATTATTCTAATTAATCATAAATAGTTGTATAAAGCACTCAGCTATCCTACTCTTCTTCTTCTTCCTCCTCTGCTAATGCATTCCAAAACGCTACTTAATATTATTGTTTTTTTTTTTTTAAATTAATATTTTATCAAATCCCTTTTGCCAATGCCAATGAACTTTATATATACACATATATAGAGATAAATACATTTGCTCGTAAAACCCTGATCAAAAATCGAAAATGTAAAATATATATATTATTTTATGATTATTATTAATGTTCTTGCAGCGTGTGTTTTTATTGAATTATTAAATATATTTGTTATCTTAATCGACATATAAATCTGTCTGTCTTTCTGTCAGTCTGTGTACCCAATTTTTAAGCTAATTTTTGTAAGGAATCCCTTTAAAACGTCATCCAAGAATATTGTTTTTTTATTTTTAAGAAACCCGAAGAAATATATAACATATAATATATATTTTTTAAGTATTTAATTTTTTTTAGAAATATTGAAACCACATAAAAGATGAAAAAAAAGAAATATATAAAAAATATATATAAATATATACCAAATTTTTCTTTTCCTTATATTAATATACAAGTTTTTAAATAATGTAAAAAAGCTGAGAGCCTGAAATACAATATGTTAATACTAAATTGTATATTCTCATCCCAGTTCAGACCTTTTATAATTATATTTAGTTAGCTGCAAGAGTATTTGAGCATCGGCATGCTCGATGTTGGCTTATTTGATTGTTAACGCTTGCTTCTGTGCCCGTTCCTAATCGACTTATGAGATCTACCTGTGAGTTTCTGAAGTAATATATATATATATATATATATGTACCTGTATATATATGTGTACATATACAAATGCTTAAGTACCTATATCTCACTATAATTTAATTTTAAGATCAACGACATTAATTTTGAATTGGCATGACGTTTGAGTATGACGTAGATTTATTTTCAACTCAATTCTAATTGCAAATTACGCTCGAATAATTAATGTTCGGCGTGCTGGAGTCACTTTTGGTTGTCAAAATACACAGTACAAAGATAAATATATATATATATGTGTGTATATATAGCTGATGAATCTTTTTATGAAAGCATTAATTCACTGCTTGTTCTATTATTAAGAATTATGACCTATGGCACAGCATAGCTGGAAATATCATATTAATTACAGTTTTGACAATGGGCAATTCAGCATTGTGTCTACTGTGATTGGTCCTTTGTCTAACCGGTTTAATTTGGCTACAGATATAGATAGATATACATAGTCATAAATATAGATGATGGGCTGTTGAAATTTAATTACATTTCCAAGTACTACGACAGGTATGCCTCAGCTTACCTCAACTCCCCTCGCCCTCACCTTGACCAAATGATTGTTTATTTGTGCGATTGGCATTATGCAAATTGATTGGCAGCTGCATCGATTTTCATTTGAATTTTCAATTTACAGTTGCAATAATTTCCCATATACAAATAAATATAGCTGCCTATTTCGATTCCTCAAATATGGCAAAAGTTCAAGAAATTATTATTTTTGCTAAAATTAGAGCAGATCAATTGTAAAATTCATAAGCGGCACACGCTATAACAATTGCACAAAGGAAAACATTTGTATATAAATACATGTATGTATTTAGATATATAAATATATATTTCGTTATTTCTGTATAAGTTTTTATACTCTGCACCCATGGAAAATCGGAAAGCAGGGCATAATGGGTTTGTTAACATGGTTGTAATAGGAAGAAGAAGGCGTGGAAGAGGCTATACTGTATATAAATATATGATATGAGTTGCTCATCTGTCCGTCCCTCTTTCCATCCGTATGTCTGTATGTATGAACGCGTCAATCTCAGGAGCGATAAGAGCTAGAGACTTGAAATGCTGTTGAGGGCTCCGGTATAGCACCCGTAGAACGAGTTTGTTTTGGAAAAATCGATAACTTTTACTGTTTTAGTGTTATCAGTTATCAAAAATCTATTTTAAGTCTATACCTCCCACATATTTGTAGCTAAAGTCGCCAAATTTTAAATATAGAGTCTTTTTAATTTTCTATAAATAAATTGGAATACCATTTCTTCGATGGGTGCAGGGAATCCCGTAGTGGAGCAGTCCCGCTTTGAGCTTTCTGGCATGTTATTGTATATAAAACACATTTAACCGCCGCCTTGTGCTGTTGCACTTGCTGCTGAGGGAAATTGATATAATTTCGATAAACAAAATGGAATGCAATGCAACCGCCAACCGCCAACCACCAACCACCAGCCACCAGCCATCAAGCTGCCAGCCGGCAGCTGCTAACTGCCGGGTCCGGCGCAATTACGCTTTTCGAATTTACGCTTAATGCCTTCAATTGGCTCTTGAATTAATAATTGAGTCATATTGTGTTTAAGAAACTGGGTCTGTGTGCCTCTACCAGCTAAACGCATTGGATTGCCCGAGGATGGCAGCACGTGCTCACTGGTGAAGGGACACCCCACACCCCACACCCCACACCCGACGCCCCCATTCTCTCTGCCCACTTGTGTCTCTCCAATGCGCCAAAGTTGACATTGTAGCCGGCCCAGCGAGCAGTCAATACAATTATCATGGGTAAAGGCAACCTTGCCAATTGTTTGCAGGTTTTTTGGAAGCGGCTCGAGCTGCCGCAGGGCACATTTGTCCGCAGCGCTCTTGACGATGCGAGATTCGAGTGCTTCAAGTCCCAATTCAAATCAAATTGACAACAGCAAAAAAAAAAAAAAAAAAAAAGCAACAAAAACATACAAAAAAAACCTGTCTGCGGCGTTGCTTTCCCTTTGATTTCAGTCAGCATCTCAAGTGAGACTTGAAAGCGGATTAACGTCAGATTTATCTGCAGTCATTCGTAACATTTTTATCATTTTTTTTCTGCTGCTTCTCCTTCTGTTTGCTGAAGGGCTGTCGTGTGCACCATCATTACGTTAATGCATCACACATTGCATAGTTTCAGAAATTTCCAATCCAAATACACAGCTCGAACTCCGAAAATGCATATTCAAAATTGAGATAATTGCATTTGGTGCATCGGCTGAGCGCATGGCGTGAGCGCCTAATTGAGTGAAATTGATTTTAGTTTGCCCAGCGATTGCGATTTGCGATTTACAATTTACAATTTTTGCACTCAAACTGTCAATAGAAAATGTTGAACAAATATTTGCATTGGCCCAACAAAACTGTGTGTGTGCGCCGTGTGCCGCTTGCGTGCCAAACGAGTTGAGATTGCGACTGAGCTAGAACCACAGATACAGATACAGCACCATCAACAGCAACACCACCAGGGGCAATGGCAGCGGCAGCATTAGCTCTTCCCTTTACTATCTGAATGTAAATGAGTACATATACACATAAAGAGTTATACATATATAACTCTTTTGGAATCGTTCGCATATGGAATATGCATTATGCATAACTGAAAAAAAAAAAATATATATATATATATAAATACATAAATGCTTTACATGCACATTCCGTCTACATGTGCTGAGCCATTCATGTTAGCCCAGTGTGCACAGTGTGCTTGGCTTCATTTAAAAGCAGCTAAAATTTGCAGCTGAAAAAGTAAAATTTCAAGGCAAATGCATTCAAATATAAAATCTATTTAGATAAATTAAAATAAATATATCATAATTAAGTCAGGTATATGTTTTAGCAAGAAGCACTGAAGTTGGAGTTTTAGATTAAAAATCATTTTCTTTTTTAGGTAGAAATAATTAATTTTTAGTTTTTCGTTAAGAGCATCAAACCAAGAGTTTAATTATTTTAAAATTACATTTGTAATACAAGATAGTTGCAAATAATTTTTAATGCATTTATTTTGTTTCTAACATTTTCTAAATATTTTATAATTAAACAAAAAGCGCTGTTTTACGATTATATATATTCGTGTGATCATAGTGTATGATCATTACGATCTGATGAAAATTTAATTTTAATACAACTTTTTTTTTAAATTTGATAGATTTTAAATAGGCTTTAAGCTTTCAGAGAGGAATCAAAAACAGTTTAGCTGGACATAGAATTAACTTAGTTTGTAATATTCGGACATATTTGTTTAGAAGGAAGTTTGTATAGAATATTTTTACTCCATTTTCGATGCATTAGATTCCACTGCAATATAAATATACATATGAGCTTGTATATATTATCAGTTTACCCAAAAAGTTCAGCGGACCAGACAGTCAGATACTAGAGGCCAGATACTCGATACCAGATATCCGATACCAGATGCCCGATACCATAAATAAAACATAAATGTTCGGCGTGTTATCTTATCAGTCGCTTTTAGCAAAATTTGATTTAGAGTACTTCCGCTCAGACTTTCAGTAAGAATGAGAGGGAGTGAGAGAGAGGGCGACAGTGGGGGTCATTCTTGTTAAGGCTTTCAATTTGTGGGGGGCTAAAGAGCTATATATCTTGGATATTTGCTTAATGTGCACGCCTGCCTAGACACTGACACACACGCACACATCTACATATATAACTCTGTATATATGTATATATCAGTAGCTCTACATCTATATCTATATCTATATCTTTATCTAAGTGCCATGCGTGTTTCTAAACATTAATTTAGTTCAATTTTTCGCGCGATCAAAAGCAGATGAGCATGTCGGCTGCTCGGTCGCTACATTGTATATATATCTATATCTATATAGCTATAAATACGGGTGTATAAATTGTATCACATGTATATATATATGTATATATACAATGTTCATGTCTATGTATATAGCTTGCTGAGCGTTTCTGATGAACTCAGAAGCCGCTTGAGCTCAAGCCTCTATTCACATGCCCGTACCCTAGCACCGTCCCTCCACTCGCACAGCTGCACAATCAATATTTATAATTAACAATTTCTTTTGTTTATTTGCTTTTGTCTCGGCGTGTTTTCCACACCGTTTCCTGCTCACTTTAGCGTAGCCTCTGTCCACTTTCTGGCCCCTCGCCTATGCCTCTCGCACCCGCACCCGCACCCGCACCCGCACCCGCATCCGCTGTACAAATTTCGTTTCTTTTTTGCCAATCTCAAATAGATAAATTTGTGTGTTTGCCGGCGTCTATCGCCATTTATTCTATATCATTTACCCGGTTCTCATTCCTGTCTCTGTGCCTTTTGTAGCGCCAGCCGAGACAACTTGTACCCCGACGATCAGCAGCAGCAGCAGCGCCACTCGCACTCGCATCAGCACTTGGTGCGTCAGTCTCTGATTAGCCTCAGCTACGCACAGGCGGGATCGAACTCTGCATCCGCATCCGCATCCGCATCGGCGGCGGCAGCAGCGGCAGCGGTAGCGGCGGCCTCTGGGCCCATACCCATCCACTCGCACTCCTCGGCCTCCACCTCCGTGCGCAACAGTCCCAGTCCCAGTCCGGCGGCCGATCAGCATAGCTGCAGCAGCGGCAGCGTTGGAGTCGCCCTCGGTTACGGACGCAGTCGGCGCGGCGAGGTAGCGGATCGTGATCGAGATCGGGATAGGGATAGGGATAGGGATCGGGATCGGGATCGAGACGGTGATAGTGTTTCGCTGCTGAGAGGAGCCGCTGGCTTGGGCCAGCTGGGCCTGGATGAGCCACGCGCCCAACGGCAGCGCAGCAGCAGTCGGCTATCGAGCGGCATCTCCAAGCAGAACTCCAGCGACAGTCGCAGTGGGCTGCGCATTCTCGATCCGGCGCCCTCGCACAGCCACAGTCCCGTTAGCTGTGGCACCCAGAGCATCAGCAGCACCGGCGGCCAATCGGCTCTGTACGATGCGTGTCACGAATACACGCGCAGCTTGAGTGCAGCACCCGCGTCCGAGGATCAGGCGTCGGCCGGAGGCATTGGCATTGGCGCAGCGGCAGCAGCTGGCGGCCTGCTGAAGAGCCACTACAGCGAGCAACAGCTGTCGGAGCCGCACTTCACCAATCTCAATCTCAATCTCAATCTGAACAGCGACTACGACACGGGCAGCGACAAGCAGCAGCTGGTGAATCAGACGTACATCTTCAAGTGCATCGCGAACAGTCCCTCGTTCCTGCGCACCAACAAGATCAAGGAGCAGTCCAAGAAGCTGCGCAATCTCTCCCTGAAGACACGCACCGCCAAGAAGAAGGGCCAGATCATATCCAAATCGAACGCCGTCTCCGACAACTCACTGCATCCGGGTGACAAGTACCTTAATTTGTATCTGGTCGAGAAGAAGCATTCGCTGCAGCCGCAGGTAGCTCCAAGTGCTGCCCATACGGTGCCATCGTCCCTGTCGGCACCGGCCACAGCTACCGGCTGCTCATCCTCATCCTCATCCTCGGCAGCGACAGCGACAGCGGCAACAGCAGCAGCGGCGACACGCCAACAGCAGCTGCCGGCGCTCTCGGCGGTTGCCGCACGGCAGCAACAGTTGCTGCTGAACGGCTCGCTGAAGAGCAAGACGAAGACATTTCCGGCGTACCGGGCATCGGTGCGCAGCGAGAGCGACGACAAGGAGTACAGGGCGGCTGGCAGCAGCAGCAGCAACACGATACCGACGACGGGCAAGAGTCCGCCGGTGCCGCATTCGCTGGCGGCGAAGATCAGCGGCAAGAACTGTAACAATCTGCTGCACAGCGCCGGCAATAAGCTAAGCGTGAGCAGCAACTCCTGCCACAAGCTACATGCCCACGGTCACGGCCAGGGCCAAGGACAAGGACATTCGGCCTACACACAGCATCTGGCATCATCGCCCAAGAGCTCCGTCTCGAGCAACGGCCACTTGAACAAGTACTGCCTGACGGATCTGACACGGCGCAAGGCCGAATTCAATCGCCAGCTGAGCGCACCGACCGACTACACCCATCACTCGTCCAGCAACGGCTCCCAGCAGGGCTCCGAGGCGGCCAATGAGGCGGTGGGCGAGTCGACGATCACAGTAGCCAGCGCCGGTGTTGTGGGACACACCGGACAGCACAGCCATCACGGCCATCACGGGCACGTCCACGGCCAGGCATCGACAGCGCCAGCCACACTCAAGTCGCTGCAGCTCCACAACTTTGGCGTCCATCATCCGACGTCAAGGCCAACGTCCACCTCGTGCACCAACAGCTTCAATCGACGCCACATACGCAGGCACAAGAGCAAGCTTAGCGAGCGGTGAGTCTGCCATGCCCATACATATAGATATACACACATATGTACATATATAGATATACATACATATATATGTATATGCATTTACTTAACTATTCTTATCATCAACCATTAACCAGTTAACGAGCCAGCCAGTTGGCCAATTTGGCCATTTGCTCGCTTACAAAGTCTTGAGAGACGCGACGCGATGCGACGCTCCAATTGCTAAGCGAATTACGCATGCAAAGTCGTCGTCCGACGTTGCTATACCCTCTGCTCAATTGAAATGGATAAATGGGGTGTATATTGAATGTGACAGGCAGAAGAATACTTCTTAAATTTCTATTTATGGAGTATATCGATTCTTCATATTTTAATCCAGCTTGAGGTCTGTCTAGCCGTCTTTTCATCTGCCTAGACTAGACTCTGCTTGAGTGTGGACTTGTCGCTTACTTCAAATGATTCTCTAACTTTCTCAGTGTTGATTGATTTCAATTAGTCCATCCGAGTGTCAATCTGACTGTCAGTCCGACTGTCCTGTCGAGTGTACAGCGGACTCTACGTCCGACGGTCCATGCGATTCTTCATTCGATAATCCATTCGTTCCTAAACTAATGCAGGATATTCAGGATTATAAAGTTGAAGTTTATTCAATGATTTTTCTTATGCCGATTGAGTTCCTACTGTCCATCCGTTCGCCTCCGAAGGCTAGACTAGATAAGCTGAAATAGTCATTTGTATGATATCCTAATATGAATGAATATGAATGATAATATAATATGGCAATAGCAGATCTTCCACAATTGAAAAGATATAGTAAGATCTTACTGTCTGTATAGAGACACATACTATATCCCCTTTTTTCTTAGGTTATATATTTTATTTAAATTCACCCCAACATCCAGGGTATATGCTAGTCGGATACTGTAGGACTAGATCACACTTAATTATTGTTGCTGCTGCCGCATGTCGTTAAATTCGCGTCTCATGTCTTTTACCGGTTTTTGTTAGCCGCTTATCGAGCAGCATTTGCATACTGCCATCAGCATCGTCTGACTCCGAGTCTGAGTCGCTGTCTGAGTCGCAGTCTGTGTCTGAATCGGGGAGTTATGTGCTTCGGCCATGGTTCCGTCGCATAATGAGCTTCTAAGCCGCGAACAGTGAACTTCATGAGCGCGTTGAGCTTTCAATCATAATTAAAGCCTGCAGCGTGACGATCGGTGCAGTGAGCAGGACTTAATAACTAATCCCTCGAATCGGTGTGATCGGAACTAAACTTTCAAATCGGGCATTCGCGTGACCGTGGATGAGATATTGAGCATTGGGAATTGATTGCTGTACGTGCTGATTGCGTCGTTGACACGGAAAACTCTCGCGCCATTATCATAATATCAATTGCCTAAGCTCAGTGACTCAAATCGACTATATCCATAATTTACTGGACTAGATTGTGACTAGAAGCGAACAGTGTTTGCCCCTACCCCAACTACAATCTCCCACTCTCTCTCTCTGAGCTCCATCTCGAGCTCAATGATAGTTGAGGTTGTTGTTAGCCTCCCGGCCCGGGCTCGGTAACCCGTTAGACCAATTCATTTACATAAAATCTAGAGGTAATTCTGATAGTTTTTGTTGTTGTTTGTTGTTGTTGTTGTTATTGTTCTTGTTGTTCCGTTTTCTGTGCTTTTATTGGCGTCAATTTTTGAAGAATAGCAACAAATTATAGACGAGCTATAATTTGCGACGCAGCTCGTCGCAAAATCAATTAAAAAGCAAACGCAACACAACAAAAATATTGTTTTTATTTATTTATTGTGCAACGGCAACGCGAGAGCCTCAGAACAGGTTATCTAGCCGGCCCGGCAACAGCTCGCCGCAAAAACTAAACTTACAAAGAGAAATACTCAGAAGCATAAGAAAACTGAAATAAATGATCGAGCGAGCTGAATGTAAAAAATCATCAACAGCTTCACTTGATCAATTATTTAATTACGCGCCAAATTCCCTTTTCGGCATTCCCTATTGCCGTAAATTGAGAGTCGAGGTAAAGCGAGTGCAGCAAAGCAATAAACAAACAAACACATAAACTTATAAACAGGCAATCGAGTAAACGAGCAAAGCAACAAACAAACAAAATAAACCGACAGCTGGAGGACGCCACACGACACACACACACGCACACACACACCCATACACAAGCCGAAGACGAACACCAATTTTCGATTCCGAATACCAACAGCCTCGGTTTTGTATACGCGCATTCGGTATTCGGTATTCGGTATTTGGTATTCGGAGACGATATTCGACAGCGCGTTCGTTCGGAGTGTTTGCCGGCGCTGGCTGGCCGCGCATTGTTACTTAGTTGCGCTCGGTTAGCGGGCTTGTAATAACTGAAAGTGATAAATTACGGTATATAGAGCAAACTGCATGCAAACGCACACACACATGCACACACATATATATATTTTGTGTAATTGTGAACAGCGATAACATTAAGTTACGGTCATCAAATCAGTGCGAACAGCTGCTTCAACACGTTTCAAGTTTCCACTAACAATTAAACGCCAACCACAATAGAAGCAAAGAAAACAAATTGAGACGAAACGAAACGAAACGAAAACGCAATCTAAAACCAAAACCAAAACTGCAGACATCAACAACAAAAGCATGCAAAATGTATTGGATAACAGTGGATAACAATGGCTTGCAATGGATAACCAACGGATAACAGTTATCCGATCGGCTGTGTAGAAATTCTAAACGATTTTGTTGTTGCTCAACTTCTATTTTTAGTTATGTGTATACAAAAGACGCGCACGCACACTAATAATAATAAAAATAATAATAATAATAATAATAATATTCGCTCGTAATAAATTCATTAGACTAATGCGAGGCGAAGATTAAATTAAATCAGCATCAACAGGCTTAATTAAAACGTAGCTTTCCCATTTAAAAACTACATTCAATTGAGTGTGAAGCAGAACAGCAACAACAACAACAAAAAGAACGAAAGAAATACAAATACAAAAATACAAAAACACGAAAAAAAAATATCATTGCACGCTTCTACTTTACCAAACAATAGAGACAGGCAAACAGCCATCGCCGGCGAGAGAGCGGAGCACACAGACCACGCGATTTCGTTTCCGCAACGAGCCAAAGACCTTGACAATCACCGAATGCAAGGTGAGAGATCTGGATGCTGCAGCTGCAACAGCAACAGCAACAGCAACAGTGCGAATTGTGCATTGTGCGTGTGCAACAATTATGAGAATTAAAACAACTACAAATATAAATAGAATTAAAAAACCTATAAAACCCGGCATAGCCGTTACTTTCACTGGCTTACCTTAAGCGCGTACTTGTAATACAATATATCTACTATATATATACACACACATATATATACATATATATATTTAGTTGCATTTCCTATTCATGTTTATTTATTATGATTGCTTTTTTTGTTGTATTTTTTTTATCAATAATTGTTTTTGCAGCCTGCTGAACGGCGATAGCGAAGAATCAGTGCGCTGCTCATACTGCTCCGTATTGAATGTGAATGAGAACGACTTGCGCATTTCATTCGAGAACACCTGCACCGACTCACTGGTCACCGCTTTCGATGATGAGGCGCTGCTAATATGCGACCAAGGAACCGAAATGGCAAGAGCTAAGGTTTTTCCTAAACAACTAGAGCAGGCATTACCAACTAACCAACTAACCCACACAATCAAACTATGCCATTTAGTCATATGTTAAATCATCATAGTAGCAATCCAGCGAGAGGGAATAGACAGAATTAGGCCTTAATTACAGGTGAATCAGTGTGTGTATTAATCGAGTTTTGCATCTTACAGGTACACTTTGATGATGTGTCGTTGTACGGCACTCCGAAAGAGGAGCCAATGCCCAATATACCGATAGTATCGGAAAAAGTCTCGGCCAATTTCCTAAAAAGTCAATTGCAATCATGGTTCCAGCCGACAGACAATCGTCTGGCCATGAAATTATTTGGCAGCCGCAAGGCCTTGGTCAAAGAACGCATACGTCAGAAAACTTCCGGGCATTGGGTAATACACCCGTGCAGTTCATTCAGGTGGGTTACGCAATCTACATGTATACCTATAATATATTTATACATCTATTGTTTTTATTTTCAGGTTTTACTGGGACCTTTGCATGCTTTTATTATTAGTAGCAAATCTTATTATCCTGCCAGTCGCAATATCATTCTTCAACGATGATCTGAGCACACGATGGATTGCCTTCAACTGCCTAAGTGATACTATTTTTTTAATAGATATTGTAGTCAATTTTAGAACAGGTAATGTGTGCACATGGCAATTACTATATATGTATGTATATATAGAGTGGAATTTTCGAAATTCCTCCACCTTGCTTGAAATTCTTTTGTTAATTGTTTCTCTCTCTCTCTGTCTCTCTCTTTCTCTCGGTCTCTCGCAATTACAGGAATTATGCAACAAGACAACGCTGAACAAGTAATATTGGATCCAAAGCTTATAGCTAAACACTATTTAAGAACCTGGTTTTTTCTCGATCTGATTTCGTCGATACCCTTAGATTATATATTTTTAATTTTCAATCAAGTAAGTTTATTGTATTTAAAGAAACAGTACGCAACATTTTGATTAAGATTATGAAATTGCAGGATTTCTCTGATTCTTTTCAAATCTTGCATGCCGGACGCGCTTTGCGCATCCTCCGTCTAGCTAAATTACTTTCTCTAGTTCGCCTGCTCCGTCTCTCCCGCCTCGTCCGCTACGTCTCGCAATGGGAGGAGGTCTATGTAAGTATACAATTCCGACTCAATTTCATTATAATTTCTGCAATTTGTTTGACTTTTGGTTTGCATAGCAAAAGATATATTAAAAAGTAATATATATATATTTATTTGAGTCATATTGAATGATATATGCTATGATATATATATATTTCTATTTCGATTTCAATTTCGATTTCGATTTGTTTCGTTTACCAAATCAGTTTTTCAGTTTGCAACACAATTTTTGTTCTTTACCTGACCCTCAAAAAATATATATAATTATATTCAAAATATACAAATTAAAAGAACGATAAAAATAAAATGAACATGAAAACCTATCTCTGGGTTTTTAGGCTTTAGTACAGTCAGTCGAACAGCTAACAGTGATTCAAGTTGTCTATATATGTAGTCCAAAGTGCTCAGTCTTCTCTGATTCTGTTTTTAGGCTTTAACATTCAATATTCCATAGGAGTTATTCGAATAATACATTTTCAGTTGTTAAATGTTTTAGAATATACTCGATGTCTATCATTTCAGTTGATTTCAGTTAATTCCTTACCTTCCTAAGTATATATATATTTATGTTCAAACCAACGCTGTACAAAAGCCCAAAAAAATTAAAATAAAAAACAACAAAAACCAAAAAAGAAAAATAATAATCATATTAATAATACATAATTGAAAGTTTTGTAAATCTTAAATGTATTTGTTTTCCAACTTGTGATGCGTTGTGCTCCAAGCCCAGTTAGTCCAAGTCAAGTCCACGTCCAGGTCCAATACTTCCCATCAAGTTCTGCAACAACTACAACAACAACAACTCACAACAATACCAAATCGCGAGCCGTCTCTCTCTTTCTCTCTAACGCTCTTCCTCTCTCTCTCCACAATATTCTCACAAAGACGCTTCAAACTTCGCTCTGTCGCAGGGGGAAATTTCAGTTGTTTTTATGTGTTTTATATTTTTTCTGTATTTTATTCTATATGATTTCATTGTTTTGCTTACATTCATATTTATTGTGTCTCTTCTTCATTTGAATGTTTCATTTCTTGCTGACTTTATAAAGCACTGAAAATTCAAACAAATTCTTCATTGCACAATGTACAAAGAGAAGAAAATCTCTGAAGACTTTCTTCCAAGTCGCAACTGAGAAACATTTCAATTAATTTTCAAGTGTTGAAAAATGCTTTTTTATTTCCTCAACACTTTCTTTACTCGCGCAACGTCACCCAAAAAATTATTCAAAAAAGAACGATGGAAACTTGAACTCAATTTATTGTTTTATGTTTATATATACATATGTATTTATTTAAGTAAAAAAAAAAAATTAATAAAAAAACGTCAACTTTATACAAACCAAAATAAATATATATATCTGTCACAATATATATATATAAGTATTCAAGAAGTTCTCGAAAAACCAATTTGCTTATCAAAATCAGACAAGAAAACCTAAAACTTTTTAAAAACCTTAGCCAATCCAGGGCTTATAATACCTGTGTATATATATGGTTTTAGATTCTCCAGAATCTACAGAAAAAAAGTGCTGATCGCAGAGGGAGAATGCATAGAAAAGACAAAGATGGCTTGACAAAAAGCAACCTAATTCTCAAGGTAACGACCCAAAACAAAACTAAAAACAAAAACAAAAAAAAAAATTTAAGATTTTTTATCAAATAAAAATCAAAACACTATCAAACAAAAAAAAAATTAATTTTGATAAACATAAAAAAAAAAAAACAAAAACAAAAAGCCTTGATTGATTGACATTATAATTATGTATTATTGGTGCAACATAGATCACATTCTTTTTGAGATATGATTGAACCAAAATTGAGTTTTAGTGCATATTTCGTTCGTTCGTTCGTTCGTTCGATTGTTCGATTGTTCGTTGATCATGTTTGCTTGAATTTTAATGTTCGTTCGTACATTCTGTAAATTTTCTAAGACTGCCTTTTTATATACATACATACATATAACTAAATATTGATTGATTGATACATATATTTTCTTGATTTGATGCATAAAAAAAAAAAATTATAATAATAAAAAATGAAATGAATAGAATTTTGCGCCAACTTCGGTTTAATCGAAGTTTGTTTTTATGCACTTCACGAAATGAGGTTAGAAACGATTTGAGATGCTGCAGCACTTGTCCGATTCGATAGCTATTGAAGGCTCTATTTAGCTCCAAATAGTTATGTTCTTTCCGATTTAACTATCTCTAGTCTAGCTAGCCGTAGACCTCATGCATGAGCATGTCTTTAGCCAAGGATTAGGCTTAAGATTTGAGTTCTAGTTTTGTCACTCTTCTTCTTCTTTATTTGCGATTATTTCATTTTTCTAGTTAGTACAGTGTAAATAGTAGTTAAAGAACGCCTGTGAATTGCATCTAGACACAGAGACTTGTAAAAAGTATTTCGAGTGCCACAGATATTGAATCAAATGCGAATGACAAAAACACATGTAAAAAAAAAAAAAAAAAAAAACAAGAAATGAAGAATTTCTATATATATATAAAATTTGTTCAATGCTTTTTGCTTAAGCACTGCGACTAAGACAGCGATAAATAAAAGATATAATTATACTCGTAGACATTTGATAAATTGTATATATCGCAGCAGCAACTGTGCAAGATAATTTCCAATCAGCAAGGGAAACTGCTTACACACACACACACACACACACAAATAAATACACCGTTATGCTAATGATAATAATGATGAGCTGAACAGCTGTTGAACAACGAACACGAACACGAACATGAACACTGTACTACTACATATCCGATACAATGCATATACGTACATATCCAGTAGTTACTTGCATACATACTTTATCTACTATTTATCTACTACATACACACATCAAGTCTTATACGTATTGTATAGCATACATTTGTGGGCAAGTGCAAATGCAAATCAAGTAAAAACGCTTTCGCTATCGCAAACACAATTGAACACTCTCTCTAGTGCCTAATCTAATCGAATATGAATAAGCCTAATGATAATAATGATATATAAATAATGCTACAACAACTGTAATAAACAAGATTAAAACAAACAGCAACAACAAAAACAACAACAGCAACTGCTACAGCAACAACAACAATAAACACCAACAAACACAATCAATGCTTTTGCTTTTGTTTCGGCGTGCGCTTTATTGCTGCAATTCTACGCTCTACGCTCTACGCTCTTATACTCTCTGTCTCTCTCTCTCTCTCTGTACTTCTACCTTACTCTCTTCTACTGCTACTACTACAACTACTACTATTACTACTACTAATAAAACTCTGCTACTGTTGCCAATTACGAATATGTTTACCGTTACGTTGGTCTCTCTGTTTTTGTTGTTCTTGTTTTTGTTTTCTTTTGTTTGTTGTTTGATTGGTTTTGGTTATGGGCTTACGTTGCGTTATGTTTTTTTCTGTTCTCTCTCTGTCTCTTTGCCTCTCTCTCTCTCTCTTGTGTTTTCTGTTGTACAAAAGTTTTCAGCTAAAGACTCGCGTGGCGATCTCCTCGTTCCGTAAGTCTGTGTAAATAAACTCGCGAAAGTCAATGAAGATGGCAATGAAGAAGGCCTAAGGGCATAATACCCTGTAATATTTCACACGAAAACAACAGCCACAACAAGAAAATACTTGAATGCAATACACCCGTTATTTTGCTACTCTTTACTCTGTCCATGGGTTAAATCTACATATACGTATTTTATTTCGTTTCTATTTCTGTTTATGGTTTGACGTTTGACCTTTTCCTCTTGTTTTTCGTTCTAAACTTCTGTACAGAAAACGTAGCACTAACAACTGAGATAAGAAAAACGCTTTTGATTGTAAAATACTTCTGGAATAGTGAGCATAATTAAATATATATATGTATATCTATATACATATATATATACATATATATATATACATATCTATATATATATATATATATATATATATATATATATATATTTTCTTATTGTTCATATTATACATATATAATACTCGTTTTTACTTAAGCATCAATTTATTTATGTGGAACTCTGAGCAAAAGTTAAGATGAGCACTTGTACCATAATAGCAGCTGATTTGCACTAAACAAACAAAAATAAAACTACGTAGAAATGGTTTGATTAATTGCGCTCAGGTTGTATTACACTTGCCTAATATTAGACTCACAATTAATTTATAATTTTTTAGTTAATTATGCCTAATTTGTATACGGATTGATAGCGATTTTCCACTGCCTGCATCTACCACTACAGCCAGCCGTGTGCGTGTGTGTGTGCGATCGTCTATTGTGATTGACCAGACGAATTGGCAGCTTATGCTGAGCTCCGAGTGTTGCATACTTCTGGGCGCCACTGTGAGGCGAGCATCAGCTGCCAGCACACAAAATTCTTTGAAAATCTTCGTTTGTTTTCTTGATTTCGTTCTCTGGCTGTGGCTTGGTTTATTTATTATTTTGCTTTGGCTCAAAGTAATTGGCAGCTGGAAGTCGAAAAAGCCTACTAAAAGACCGTTACAAAAATGTAATTTAGTTTTTGGTTTTAATTATTATTATTTTACTTGCATTAGTTTTGATTTGGTTCGTTGTAATTTAAATGTGAAACTCACAAATATAATACACACACACACACATATATACACACTCAAATACACACACTCAAACACACATACACATACATGTAATAGACAATGCGGTGCTGGGCTTAAGTTGATGTGCACTCTTATTGATAAATCTGGTTGCAGTTCCTTAATATGGCCTCGGTTTTTATGAGGATCTTCAATTTAATTTGCATGATGCTCCTCATCGGACACTGGAGCGGCTGTTTGCAGTTCTTAGTGCCAATGTTACAGGGTTTTCCATCTAATTCCTGGGTATCCATCAACGAATTACAGGTATGATATCTCTAAATATATGAATATATATTTTCGATAGAGAAAGCATAGATCTTAAGTAATGTTATATGCAGGAATCATATTGGCTGGAGCAGTACTCATGGGCATTATTCAAAGCCATGTCACATATGCTGTGCATAGGATACGGCAGGTAAGCAAAAACTGCATATAATATCAATAGATGAATATTTTATATATATTGTATTGTGATAAACTCAATCTATTTGATCTTTTATACTGTTTATAATATTTTTTTATATTTAAAATAATATTGAATTTTTTAATAGTATGTAGTATATATATATAAATAAAGTTCCACTTTTATCTCTTATCATATCTTATCAATTGACCTTTTGCAGATTTCCACCACAATCACTGACGGATATGTGGCTAACGATGCTATCGATGATATCGGGCGCCACATGTTATGCATTGTTCCTTGGTCATGCGACCAATCTAATACAGAGCTTGGACTCCAGCAGGCGGCAGTATCGCGAGAAGGTCAAACAGGTGGAGGAGTATATGGCCTATCGCAAGTTGCCGCGCGATATGCGACAGCGTATAACGGAATATTTCGAGCATCGGTACCAGGGTAAATTCTTCGATGAAGAGTTAATACTGGGCGAGTTGAGCGAGAAGCTGCGCGAGGATGTTATCAACTATAATTGCAGGTGGGAGATCCTTAAGAATAAAGATAATTAACAGGAGTGTTTGAAGAGAGCTAATAAACTAAACTAATTATATATCTACATATATATCACAGATCCCTCGTGGCGTCAGTGCCTTTTTTTGCTAATGCCGATTCGAATTTTGTTTCCGACGTAGTTACCAAACTGAAATACGAAGTTTTCCAACCAGGTACTATCCATCAATGCATACTCTAAGGAGTTACTAACTTATCATAAACTCTTCTCCAACTCAGGTGATATTATCATAAAGGAGGGCACGATCGGTACAAAGATGTACTTCATACAGGAGGGCGTGGTGGACATTGTCATGGCCAACGGCGAGGTATGTGTAGAGTATGCCATGCTAGAATGTATTACAGGGTATCTGTCTATCCATAGGTTGCCACCTCACTATCGGATGGATCTTATTTCGGTGAGATCTGTTTGCTGACCAATGCGCGTCGTGTGGCCAGCGTGCGAGCCGAAACCTATTGCAATCTATTCTCGTTGAGCGTGGATCATTTCAACTGCGTTCTGGATCAATATCCGCTAATGCGCAAGACCATGGAAACCGTGGCTGCCGAGCGGCTAAACAAGATTGGCAAAAATCCAAATATAATGCAACAAAAGGATGAGCAATTAAGCAATCCAGAATCGAATACAATTACGGCGGTGGTCAATGCATTGGCCGCCGAGGCCGATGACTGCAAAGATGAGTAAGTTATGATAAATATCTGTTATACAATAGTCTTATACACTGGTCTTATATTTTACTCTTACATACAATACCAACATGATACTCTTGTATAAGACTTATCTATGCTAGTCTTATAAAATTGTATAATATTCTTATGCAAGAGTCTTATACCATACTCTTATATGGTAGTCGTACGAAATATCTTATACAACATGCTAGACTCTTATAACTCTTATACAATACTCTTATATCTCTTGCAGTGACATGGATCTCAAGGAGAATTTACTGCATGGGTCAGAGTCGAGCATTGCTGAGCCGGTGCAAACGATACGCGAAGGTCTGCCCCGACCACGTAGCGGCGAGTTTCGAGCTCTATTCGAGGGCAATACTCCATGACACTGAGGCATCATGATTAGCCCAAACAGCACGCAACGAGCAACCATCTGAATAGCGGTTCGCAGAACTCAAATACAAAAACAAAAACAGCAAATAGTAATACACCCATAGACACTACAAACATTACACACACACATACAGACACACACACACATGCGTATATAATAATTAGTGAAAAAAAATGAAAGAAAAAAAAAAAAAAAAAACTACACTGAATCAATTTACAGTAGTCTACATATATATGCAATTGCGATTTAGTAGAAAATGAAGACAACAACAAAAAAAACAAAAGAGAAAAAAATGAGATAGAGAAAACGTATTACACAACAATGTCCTCAATAATTATTCATAATTTCAGCTCCGCTAACTGTGATGAACTTTAATATAAGAATCGAAAAAAAAAAAAATGAAAAACTAAAAAAAAAGATGAGTACATAAAAATAACTTATACGATAAAAAAAAAAACAAACAAAATTCAGCAGCCAGTTAAAGCATTCACACAGATATGAAACACGGCCATAGAGAGAACACACACACACATACATATACACACCTACAGTTACATACATATAAGTATATAAGTTTTATGCCCACGATATTGTAATGATTACGAAGTGAATAGACTTTTGAATTTGCTACATACATAGGTGTTAGTCCTATGGATCTACTACTAACCTATAGACAGCCATACACACACCCACACACCTGTAGTTAAACATACACCCATACACACACACACACGTGCATAAACTTATGATATAAAGAAAACTTGTTACGTTATGCATACCACAAAACCAAAATAAAGAAAGAAATGAAAAGAAAATGAAATGAAATTACAAAAACAAATATAAATGCGCGTAGCTATTATGTACTCAAGAGCAACCAACAAACAAACAACAATTATGTATTATTGCGATTATATAGCATATTTAAATACGCATTGCAACAAAAAATGAAAAAAAAAAAAAAAAAAGGAAAACACTCAGCAATATGAGTAAACACGATAACAATATATTATGATAAAGAAAAAAAGATGAAGCAAAAAGCAAATTTAACGAAATGCATTAGTAGTTGAACTATTAGTTTTTCACTCACTACAAGAAAAAAAAATTAATAAAGAGGAAGAGTAAACACTGACACAAAGTAGTAGAGCAGCCTCAAAAAAAAAAAATAATAATAATAATATAATAATAATAATTATAATTAAATGAAAACACACACAAACAAAAATTAAAGAAAACCTCAGGTTGCCGTCTACGACAACAACAACAACAGCAGCAGCAAGCAACATACATACATAAGCATTGACTATATACACAACATACAAGCATACAAACACACATAACATACATACATACATATATACAAACTACATTAATAGATAATGTTGTCTTTTATAGGGAATTGTTATGACGATTCAGTTAAACAAACAAGAAAAAAAAATAACAAATAATATATTTATTGCAAAAACTATAATTTGAGCATTATGTTTCAAGAAATACTATTTAGTTGCGAGCGAGATCTTTTTGCGTAGTTTATGCGTCTTTGTTTGTCTTAATTTCAAAACATAAATCAAGCGATAAGACAACAACAACAACAACTTGTTTCAAGATTTATGTAACTTAGTATTTTATTATACGTAAACTAATAAATGAAAAGCAGAAGGACAGCGTTTGCCTTAACATAAAACTTAAGTAAAGTCTTTCAATTTACATTACTTGAAGTCCAAATTCGTTTGTAACATAACAAGTTAATGGGAAAACAAAACAAACATTTTCAACTTTGTAGCTCTATTTTAAGTTCCAAAAAAATCTTATGGCTTGTAACAGCGACGTACCCAACCAGACTCGATGAGTGCCATATTAATGTTCTTGGTATGCAGCGAACTATTTGGATCAACCAGTATCATAGTGCAGGTATTATCCTAAAATAAGCAGAATATCATATTAGTTGACAGTCATATATAAAGTTCTTAAGTAAATCCCTACAGCATCGTTTATCTTCTCTATTTTCGCATAGAGTCTTCGATAGCAGACAATATCGTAAAAGTAGTTGCTGGCCTCCATAGAAAAGCATTTACCCTGCCTGGGTGTTATGCAGGCCAGTCTGCCGGGCCAGCACTGAGGTGGCAATCTGGCAAAGTCTTTGCACAAATACTTCAGATCAGTATGGCATATCCATATGCGGTCGCCCGTATCTATAAGTTCTACCTGTTGAACAAGTTCTATAAATACAAGATGAATAACTGAAGGATTTCAAGCGCTTGCCTCCACATTCATTCTGTCGCCAGCTTTGATATTTAAGACTTTTACGCGGTGCCAAATTTCTTCCCTCACATGAACAGCACCCAAATGACCAACCATTATTAAAAATAATGGAATCGTATAGCTATACTCATTAATGATGCTGTAAAATTGTCTGAAAAAGAGCCAGCACATTACTTTTATGATATAACCTTTCATAATATACGTACTGCATGCTGTAGGACATGCCTTTGTACTGCTCGTAATCCTCGTCATGTAGCCAAAAATAGAAGCTATGCGGACTAGCCACCTGTTGATGCAGAGTGTATGATGTAGTGGATATATATAATGTAATTGTGATTTTCTACCGTCACAAGCTGCACTTCAACGCGTTCTTCCAATTTGAATTTTTTATGCACATTTTGTTTGGGCAACTGATAATCAAAGCGAACTGCATCCCTAGGATATTCCACACTCAAGACATTTTGGTCCTGGAATAAAAAACACATTAGGCAAGTGCTACAAATAGTAATCCGACTTCAGTTTTGAATTCTATGAAGTCTATGAGACTTCAATCGTAATTTAATATTAATTACAAGAAATATTTACCACAGCAAAGACCGGAATGGCATCCGATTCACTACCTTCATCCGAGGAGCTATAATCAAGATGATGGTCTGTCCAATTGCTCTGAACGTTGGATTCTACATTAATTAAATTGGTACAACCGGCAACCTCGGCATATTTGTAATTTAATATTTCTTTATCCTAAAATAAAAACATAATTTATTGTCTATATAAAGACACATATATAATGAACTTTTGATACCACAGAATATTCCGGTTCAGCATCTTCATCGCAACCCTCATCAGATGATATATATTGTGGACTGCGGTTCCTATTGTTCTTTGAGAGAGATTGGTTAGGCAACTTGAGTTTATCTGGACTTTCGTCCTTTTCAACATAGATTTCTAAACTGTTTTCTGCAGCCGAAGAGGAATTCCCAGCATTAGCAATTGTACATTTTGAAAGTGAATTAGTTATAGAATTCGTTTCCTTTGTTAAATTGTTCTGGCGAACAACTGAAGTTTGAGTTGGTGGCGGTTGTTTGACATATTGGTTAGCAGACGAATTGGAATCGTAACGCATTCGATAACTGTTGTAATTGTTGTAATTATTCAGTAGCACATTGTTCGATTTGTGATACTCATTGATAAACACGATATCAGATCGTTCTGAGGGATAACAGAATAGGGGTTTGCCACGTTTTCGATTTTTTTGCTTGCTGCTTGGCCTCTTTTGGCACTGCACCAGGGCTTGGATGTGGGCGGTCTTGGCATTACTCTTTGCCAAGACGTATGCCATCGGCCCGTAGCCCACTAACTAAAGAATAAATAAATATTCTTTAATATATGTACCTTGAGAGTTCCCAAAGTGCAAATTTACATACCTCAACTGTGTCGGGAATTGAGCGCAAAAAGCTTTCGATGTCTTTGAAGCCGAGACTGTTGTACGGCACTGGGCAGCCTTCCTCGTTTGCATAGTCACGCTTTAATCTTTCTATAGTTACGCGATCCGGCGTCGACACTACTAATGAATGGATAACTCGTTTAACATAACTTAAAAAGCCGTGGTCGCCCATTTTCTAGATTGCTTGTCCACAAACTATGAACTTTAGAATCTTAGCGCGTGATTGAAGTTGGCTGCGGTCAAAAGCTCAAGATCTGCTGATCGATCATTTGGAACTAATTAAGCTAGTTCCTTTATAAACCTAAGCCTTTAAAACAAGTTACTTTTTTTTAAGCAATAATTATGTACTATCACTAACCAAAAACATAGAGTAGACATTTGTTCTTTAACCAATAATTCGATCTTTAACCAATAAATGAATTTTTTAATAGATAATAATTTTCTAATAGATGTGTACTGTAGTACTATTTATAATAATAATTTTTATAATATGTTTGAAATATACCATATTTCATTAATACAAAAGAAACGGTTAAATAAATTAAATAAACATTAAAAGTACAAACGTCACTAATTTAATGATCGCAACAAATTTAAAAAAAGTTGGCAGCGCTGGCTTTTCGGAACTGAAAGAAGTTCATTTACTTGCTTGCAGTGGCAACGCTGCCGATTCCGATTACAATTACAGTTAAGTTGGCTGTGGTTCGGTAGCCGAACTAGCTCTTTCTTTTTACTTCCTTTTGGTTCCGAACAAGCAGCAAAATGTCGAAGAGAGGTATTTTCCAGAAAATTAAATCCGAATAAATAGTGAAAAATTCGACTAATCAATGCAAAATTGCAAAGTTATAATGAAGTGTTTAATGCAATACATGTGTTTAACTAATTATTTGTGTTTTTCGTCAATTAGGACGTGGTGGTACCGCGGGAGGCAAATTCCGCATCTCCCTAGGTTTGCCCGTAGGCGCTGTTATGAACTGTGCTGACAACACAGGTAATGTACAAAACAAACAAATTCTTTCAAATGCAGTGCAATCAATAAAATATTTCAATACATCTTTTTCAGGTGCCAAGAACCTGTACGTTATTGCTGTGCACGGTATTCGCGGTCGCTTGAACCGTCTGCCCGCGGCTGGTGTTGGTGACATGTTTGTTGCCACCGTCAAGAAGGGCAAGCCTGAATTGAGAAAGAAGGTAAGTCTGCGCACTCTTTGGAAATATAAAGTGAAATTGTGCAAAATATACTGCGTTTCGCTTGCCGCAACAAAAATAAGTCGGTGCTCAATGTGTGTATCGGTGATTGTGTTTTTGTGTGTGTGTGCGTTAACATGTGCGAAAAGCGGCTATAGTTTGCTCAGTTCCCATTAATTTCTGAGTTATTGTTTGTTTGTTTCTCTTTTTTCAACGCGTGTTTATTTTTAGGTTATGCCTGCCGTGGTCATTCGGCAGCGGAAGCCGTTCAGGAGGAGGGACGGGGTGTTTATATACTTTGAAGATAATGCGGGGGTCATTGTAAACAATAAAGGCGAAATGAAAGGCTCGGCCATAACCGGGCCGGTTGCCAAGGAATGCGCTGATCTATGGCCCCGTATCGCATCGAATGCAAGCTCTATAGCATAAGCAGTGTCCAAACATGAAATAAACCCACAATAATGGAACACAAGATGTTATTAAATTAGAACTGATTCTAAATTGTTTTATTTTTCATGGCACTAACACGCATCTACAGTGGATGAATTTCGTTCGCTCGTCCTCTACTTGGGTGCCTCCGTTCGCAGCGTGGGCTTTGGCCGTGTTACCTCCATCGAGATCTTGCCGTTGGCGCCCTTGAACAATGCATAGCACACCTGGAATGGCAGACCCTCCAGCGCATCGCCGTTAAATTTGGTTATAATGTCGCCGCGTTGCAGCTTGTTATCGATTTCCGGATATTGTCCTTGTATCTGCCAAGAAAATCCGCTTATCAAGCGAACATACTTACTATCCAGTTTATACATACCATTTCGGAGATGGTGCAGCCGCGTTCATTGGGCGCCAGCGAGAGACCCAATTCCTTGCCGCTCTTCTTCATAAACTCAACATTGAATTTCTCCAGCTCCGG